AACTCCTGCCTGAAAGTAAGAAACTACTCAAAGTTGATGGGACATGTTCAAAGAACAGAGAAGAAGGACTCCTGGTAACCAAATCCTAAACAAAGCAAGTATCAAAGTAAACTATTAGAGTTACACAGTGAATAGAATCCAAAACGCTATGTCCATTGATGATAAAGATAAATCTATAAATTCAAAAGCTTAATAAAGAACAACTTCGCAGTGGCAAAGACTTGAGGATACTGCTTCAATCCACTGATCAAAGTGAATTACAGACAGAACAAGGGAAATAAAAATTATGTGCTGTCTGTAAAGGTATAAAAGGAGCCCTGGTGCTGCTGTGGTTTTGACCGCTGGGCTGCTAAGCACAAGGTCTGCAGTTCAAACTCACCCCCCATTCCAGAGGAGAATGATGGGGTTGATTTACAATCTCAGAAAACCCTATATGGAGGTCACTAGCAGTTAGAATACCTTGAAAGTAGTGGGTTCAGTCTTTTTGTTATAAGGATACAATAAGGAGAACACAGAATCCTTTTTGTGATATTCCTGCTAAAAATGCTTAACTTCAATCTCACAAAGAGGAAAAGTGAGATAAGCTAAAAAATGGACATTTGAAAACAGTCTGTAATTTTCAAGTACTATGGTTATAACAACTCAGAAGGTGAGAAACTGACCTGGACTGAGGAAAGACCCTAAAGAGACAGGACAATGAACTGTGCCACGTGATCTTGAGCTGAACCTCCACGTGAATGAGCTAGTAATACACGCAGCAATGTGAGAAAATCGATCACCAAAAAATGGCATACTGTAAGATTCCAAAACACCAGAATATACAAATTCGTAAGAATAAAACATAACAGCCTTGCTCAGATAGGAGGTGAGACAGAAAGAAAAACAACAAAGAAACAGTGGGGCAGCCAATATACGCTGTACTTTCCCAGGTGCTAGTGGCAGTTTTGTGGGCATATGCACTTGTTAAAATTCATCAAATTATACACTTTAAATGGTTCGAGTCTACTGTATGAAAGTTATATTTAAGTTTACTTTGAAAAAACTAGCCAAACTGAAATAAGATCTTGAAAATCCACAATTTAAACCAGAGAGCTTAACAGTCCTCTCAATAACCAAACGAACACACACACAGGACATTAGTAATAAAAGAGCTGAACACCACAATCAGCCAACTTGATCTGATTGATACTTACAAGCCAATTCACCCAACAGCAGCCAGGAAATATTCA